TTGGAAGGGCCATAAGGCCTGAGTTAAAATTGGATTACCGACTCCTTTGGAAGGAGGACATCTATTGGTTTCAATGGTCAGTCAAGTGGTTGAAACATGGAGATATCAATACGGTGTTCTTCCACATGTAGCTAGTTGTTGGAGACAAGACAATATCATCTCCCAAATTACAGAGGATGACCTCGTCTTCGTCCAGCCACCCCTCATTGAAAAAGTTATTGACTTCTTTAAACTCCCCTTCAAGTCTCCCTTTGGGCCCAAGCCAAGAATCGCTGATCACTCCTTCCTCTCCATTTCCCCAGACAAATCCCAATGGCTCGAATGTCTTCTCTCCGAACAAGAAATCCTCTCGGCTATCTCTGACGTTGGTCAGGACCTTGCCCTCTTGTCCTGATGGCTACCCAGTCACCCTTTTCAAAAGGTTTTGGGACTCCCTCCTCCCGGACGTGCTATTCTTCTTCGTTGAAATCTTTGCTCGGGGAGCAGTCCACAAGGTGATGAATGCTACCTTTGTTGCGCTGGTCCCAAAAGTTGAAGTAGCTGAAGAGCTCAGAGACTTCTAGCCCATCAGCCTTATAAACAGCTCCTACATGATGCTATCGAAGGTCCTCTCTTTTAGACTCCTTGAGGTCCTTGATTGGGTATTTCCCCAATAAAGGCTTTTGTCAAGGATTGCCAGAGCCTTGGTGGTGCTTTTGTAGTCCACGAAGCCATCCCACTCTGGACTCCTCTCCAAAACCCCAGGCCTAGTTATCAAATAAAATTGGGGCAAGGCATATATGACAACACCGATTGGGCTGTCCTCGACGAAACTCTCCTTAGAATGGGGCTTTGTGCTCGGTGGAGAACTTGGGTCAGTGGTTGTATATCCTGTTCTTCTCTGTCTTGATAAATGGTATCGCTAAAGACTACTTCCCTTCCTCTGGGGGCGTGAGACAAGGGGACCCCCACTCCCCCTTCCTCTTTTCCATCGTAGCCAAAGTCTTTGGCATATCAATTGCGAGAATGTACCACCACGAAATCCTTGAGGGATTCAAGATTGGCAACCTTGGCCCGACTATCTCTCACCTACAATATGCTGATGATACACAACTCTTATGTGGTGCTAATAGTCAGCAGGTCCCTCCTCTTCCTAAAATGCTTCTAATTAGCTACAAGATTCAGAGTCTATCATCATCATCATCATAGCCTTTTCCCAATTAATTGGGGTCAGCTATACGAATCCTAGTTCGTCATTCTGCTCTATTAAAGGCCATACCCTCAGTGAGGCCATAAATCCCTATATCTTTTCGGACTACTTCCAAGCACGTCCTTTTGGGTCTACCCATTGCCCCTTTCAATCATTTCACTTGAACTAACTCGTACTTCCTAACAAGTGCTATACTTGGTCGACGCCAATTATGGTCAGCCCACCTAAGTCTACTCTCTCTCATCTTGTCGCCTATTGGTGTCACACCTAAATTCTCCATAATGGAGTTATTTCAAATTCTATATCTTCTTGTCTGGCCAGTCATTTATCTCAACATCCTCATCTCCGCTACACTCATTTTATAGGTATATTGTTTTTTGTTCGCCCAACATTCCTCCTCATAGAGCAAAGCTGGTCTCACAGCTGTTCTATAGAACTTGCCCTTCAGCTTCATTGGTCTACGACGATCACATAAAATTCTAGTTGCACATCTCCACTTTACCCGCCCTGTTTTAATTCTATGTGCGTCATCTTCCTCAATCTCTCTATTTTCTTGGATTGTCAACCCAAGGTATCGAAAGTGCGGTCTTTTTGTATTTCTTAGCCGTCAATCTTAACTACTTCCTCTTCTCAACTTTGATTATTATCAAACTTACATTCCATATACTCTGTCTTAGTTAGGCTAGTTTTAAAACCTTTGGATTCTAGAGCATCCCTCCAAAGTTCCAACTTTGTGTTGACATGATTTAGAGTTAATATGACAAAATCCAAGATGATCGGCTTGTCCCTTGAAGCCCAAATTGTTCAGGAGTTTGCCCATAGATGGGGCTGCAAAGTGGAGAACCTTCCAACCACCTACCTTAGCCTCCCCCTCTGTAGTGGTAAGCCAAGGAAAAGGCAGTGAGACCACATCATAGACAAGTTCGATTGGAGATTCGTAGACTGGAAAGGGCATTTCCTCTCCTTGACCATTAGGTTCACCCTTATTAAGGAAACCTTGTCTAGGGATGGCAATGGGTCCGGTCGGGTTGGGTCGGGTCAGGTCTGGGTCTGGGTCTGACCGAACTTGAAAAAATATTATGGGACCCAGACCCGGACCTAACTGGACCCAAATTCAGTGGACCTAGACCCTAACCCAAAAATATAGTATGGAACCATAACCAGAACCCGGATTCGATCGGACCCTACCACAAAATTAAAATATCTGTGTTTAACTATATTTAAATATATTTCATAAATTGGGACCCAAAAAATATTATGGGATCCAGATCCAGACCCAACACGATTGGAACCGGACCCGGACCTGAATAGTGTTTGGGTCCAAGGTTTGGACCTAACCTGCTGGGTCCAATTTTGGACCCATACCCGGACTCGGGGTCGGGACTACCCATCGGGCCCCGGTCCATTGCCACCCCTAACCTTGTCCAACATTCCCATCTTCCAAATGTATGCTTGCCGTAAGGGTTAGTAGATTAGAACAGCTCATGAGGAACTTCCTCTGGGCCGGAGGTAGGCAACAAATTCCACCTCATTTCTTGGGACAAGGTGTGCAATCCTAAATCCCAGGGTGGATTGGGGATTTGCAAACTCTTAAGTCCAACAACCTGTTCTCCTCAGTAAGTGGTCGTGGCGCCTAACCACTCAAGAAGGCCACCTGTGGCAACAAGTTCTCAGCCACAAATATCACTTTGATGTCCCCACCTGGTTATCTAACTGCCGTGTTATCTAACTGCCGTGCAAATCATAGGTCCTGAGGGGCCTGGAGATCCCGGCGCAAAGCCTATAGCCATTTCAAAGCAAACATTCGATTCCACCCCTAGACCGGTAGTAGAGTCAAATTTTGGAACACTTCCCTAATCTCTTCCTTTTGGCAAGCAACCGTGAGTCCACGATGGCCGACCTCTTAGTACCCCAAGGCCCAACCAGAGTTCACCCAAACTTCCGGAGATCTCTCTTGGATCATGAAATAGACGACTTTCTTTGACTCTCCTCCCTTCACTCAATCTACATTCCTCCCTTGGTGAAGATAGAATCATTTGTTCCCGTGCCATTTTGGGTTCCTTTTCCCTCTCCTCTTTCTACCACTCTCTTCAATCTCTTGCAACCCTACCACATTCCAACGCCAACAACCCCATCCCCACTGCTAGAGCCTGGTTCCCCTTTGTCTCCCCAAAGATACAAGTCTTCAGCTGTTTAGCTCTCGCTGAAAGAGCTCTGACCGTGGACCAACTCCAAAGGAAGGGATTGGCAACCCCAAACTGATGTGTAATGTGCTTGAAGGAAGAGGAAATTGATGCCCACCTCTCCATCCACTGTGAAGTTGCAAGTGACCTATGAGGTTTTTTTCAACTGGTCTTGGGTTACTCCGAGGCCAGTCCCGTGCATCTTCACCTCCCTTCAACCCCTCCCATGGCCAAATCTGTTATCCTACTCTGGAATGCCTCGGTAGCAGCCACCTTGTGGGTGCTATGGACCGAAAGAAAACACAGAATCTTCCAAGGCCAATCAGCCCACCCACGGGTCCTCAAGGAATGCATCAGATCGATGGTCATCTTTTTGGCCACGAACCACAGTCGTTTCAAGCATGTCACTCTTGCAGGCTTCCACTCAACTGGTTATCTTTACTCACCTCTTGGCCCCCAGGCATCCCTAGAGCCTCCCTTGGGCGACCCTAGACCGAGGCACCATCAAACTGTACTTCGACAGTTGGTTCACTGGGCAACCCTTGCCTTGCTGGAATAGGCAGGATCTTTAGAAACCATGAAGGGCTCACCATCTTCTCGTTCTCCAAGCACATCGGCCAAGCGGACTCCCACATGGTGGAGGCGTTAGCCCTCCCCGAGGGCGTTATGAACTTCAACCCCAACTGGAACCCCCCAACTGGAACCCCGCATTGGTGGTGGCTGGGAACTCCAAAAACATTCTCTATTGGACCTCTGGATCTGCAGCCCACCCTTGGAGACTTTCACATGTTTTTGGTTTGCGGAAATCTGCAGACCCATCTAAATCTCTTGGAATCATATTTGGCGTGAGGCCAACCAGGAGGCCGACTCATTCGCAAAGGAGGCTGCAACTGATTCAGACGGCACGGCAACCCTGTGAACCTTTTCTTGCGCACTTGGTCCCTGCCTATCTACCCTATTCTGTTTTTGGCTGTGCATAGCATTTTGTTGTTGTTGGCCACCTCCTGGGTGGCATTTTGTAGAGCTCCCAATATGTGGGGCAGCCCATTTTTTGATACACTACACCTCTATATCCTTTTCCTTCAATACAATACTTTACATATTAAAAAAAAAAAGAAAAGAAAAGTCCACAATTCTTTGGGGTTTCTACTTTCACATCAAAGTGAGTTTTAAAAACCTAACAATGCATTCTTGTAGAGAGAGAGAGTAAATTTTTACAAGTTTGAGCGACCTGTACAAAGAGATGATAATAATTAACTAGATATAAGAAAAATATAATAAAAAGGAATGACAAGGTATTCTCTCCATCTAACAGGTAGCATGTTGGAACTCTCAAGTTGGGGTTACAGCATGCGTGAAGTGGGCCCCTCACCGAGCTATGTTTGTGACAGCATCTTCAGTTCTTGCCTTTTGGATTCCTGACTCGAATTCAGAACCAGCCGATATGGACTCAAACACTTGAGTATTTAATTTGTTTCTTTTGCTAATTTTGTGTTTGTTACTTTTGCTTTTTTTTCTCTCTGCAATTTACACCCTTCAAATGGAGTGGTATCGCATTTAAACTTGGCATCTTTGAAAATGGTCTTTTTATGTTCGCACGTGCGTGTCTTTTGCAAGAGGAAATGCTGTGAAGTAGTGAAGCAGATAGGTAATGACAATAGTTGTGGTGCAGTAGTTGAGAGAGAGAGGGGCTATTAATAGATAGAAAGTTGGTGATCAGGACACCTTTGTGTTACAGAAGATCTGTACGGGGAAAATATAAAGCCGATTGTGGTCATTTGGCTGTGAAACTTTTGAGACCATGTTGTTGATTAAACTGCACTGTTGATTGTGGTCATTTTGCAATCAAATTAGAAAACATCTCTCTCTGTCTCTATCTTCCAGCGATAAGTCCACTGAAGACTTGGTTGTTGCCACCAAGAGAAGCACCCCATTCTAATGTGCACATTACTATGTGAGACAGCTTGATGACCACTTCTCGCATCTCAGGCCTATTCGTTGGGTCTTCATTCAGGCATGAAAATGCTATTTCAGCCATCTGAATCAATGGAAAATTATCAACTTCAATCAGGGATGAAAATCTCACTTGTCTTGTTAGCTTATAAAATCTCTGTCATTATTTTTGAGTAGATATTTTTGGGTAGAGTAGGGATGATGAGGGAACCAACCTTGTTTACTTCCTCTATGGGATAGTTGTCATTGAGATTTTTGTCAGTCACTCTTTGCAAAGAGACGTAAGGTTCTTCTCCCCTGAATATCTCGAGCATCTGAGCACAGTTCAGAATTTTTTGAAAGATTCAGCACGAGTTTCTAGTTGAAAATTTTATACATATTATAATAAAATATTGCGCTGCATGTAGCTCCAATTTTGAGCTCTGGTTGCCTGGAAACTCAATATTTGCATGAAAACTGACAGATTTTTTTTTTTGAAATTTAATATGGTCCCATAAATTTTATGTTCCACACTTGAGTCCCACTTTTTTATAATGAACATTTCATTTCAATTTTTTCTTTTTGTACGTGAGGTTTCATAAGCACAAAAAACTTTTCCTTTTCTTATATAATCTAATTAAGCTCTCAAAGATTGGACGTCTATACTTCTCTTTGTAATGTACTAGTAAACATATTAAAAATATAATTAAGTTAAATAAAAAATGACAAAATAACCTTGAAAATTTGAAAATATATGGGTATTTTGGTTTTATTTGATTCATTTTAAAATATTTTTGAGTTCCATCTTATGTATAGAAGAGAAAATTAATTTAAAGGAAAAAGTTTAAATAAGGTTGCAACCTTAAAATGTAGAATTAAATATGCTCCAAAAAAATCCATTGGAAAAGTTAGTTCTAATGTTAAACCCTCTAATTGATCATCTTGATATCAAGATATATGAATATGAAAATAAAGAAAGATTTTGAGTCCGCATCTGGCAATACAATTTCAAGATTTTTTTATGTTTATAAATCTATTTGATTTTAATTTTTGGAGTTTAAAATTTTATAATTAGAGTTGATTTTCAGATAATTTTAAGAATTTTTTACACCAAAATTACATGCTATGATAACATTTGGAGGTATGCTTAATTGGATTGTCTAAGGTTGCAACCTTATAGAAACTGCACCCAAATTTAAAATACACATTTTGAAAAAGTGGTTCTTGAATGTAAAAGATAAAGTACGCAAAGTTATTTTTAAATTTTAATTTTTATATATATATATATATATATATATATATATATAGATATAATTTTTTGTAAATTTCCCTTTAATCTAGGCATGCACGTAATTTAGAAAATCTAATAATGATAAATTTTGGTTTAATAAGAATGGGGATTTTAAACTTTCCCTTTAACTCATCCAAGTGACGTGCTACTCCACCTTGGTGCTGTGAGAAATAAGCAAGGGTTAGTCAGGGCATTCCCCTACAGTGACACGTTGTACTAGTACTTGGGTGCAGTGAGAAATGAGCAAGGGTTAGCTAGGGCATTCCCCCGAAGCGACGTGCCGAAACAAATGCCCGACTACAGTTATAAGTAGGCAAGTTCCTGTGTCATTCTAGACGAGTGAGGATAAAAAAGCTAGTGCAAGAGAATATGATACAATGATAAGTTGGCAAGTTCCCATGCCATTCTGGATGAGCGCGGGTAAAGAAGCTAGTGCAAGAGGGTAGGATACTTCTAGTCACATGGAATGTAGAAATGGTAACTTTTTCTTGAAAATTAATGTAGAAATGTTAACAGGTAAGAACTTGGAGTTAATGGATACATAGATGCAAAAGAGTTAATATAGCTTGTCTACATGAAATTAAGTGGAACGGGGAAAACAACTAAAGAAATTGATGGATATAAACTGTTGTATAGATAAAAAGATAATAATAGAAATAGCATAAACATAATAGTGGATAAGGATTTTAAAAAATAAAAGTATAGAGTGAGACCATTTACCTTTGATACAAGGTAGTCACATTAATATTGACTATTGGATGTCAAATTGGATGACTGTAATTATTCTATTGATCAAGCTCAAACTTCAGAAGAATTTTTCTCGAACATTGTGACACATCCAAGCTATCAAATTTCACATCCGATGGTGGTTGTGAGTAATCGTGACCACCTTGTATCAAAGGTAAATGGTCTCATTGTATACAATCCCTTAAAAAAAGGGTGTAGTTTGCATGAGGTTGCAACCTTAAATAATAAAATTAAGGTGCACCTCCAAATTTTATCCTAAATTTAATTTTAGTGTAAAAATTCTTAGGATGACTTGAGAATCTATTTTGATATCTAACTATAAAAAATTTTGAACTAAAAAAATAGTTCAAATCTAGTAGAGATCGATAAACACATGAAAATCTTGAAAATGGACAGTCCAGATATATTATGTTATATTTGAGACTCCAACCTTTTTTTTTTTTTTCACTTTCATACATCATGATGTTGAAATGATCAATTAGAGGGTTTCCAACATCAAAACAACATTTTGTGATGGATTTTTGAGGTGCACTTTAATTCTACAGTTTAAGGTTGTAACCTTATATAAACTTTTTCTTTTAAAAAATAAAGTAGTTAATGTCAATAGAGTAGGTGATAAGCTCCTATTACGTAAAATTGTATTTGGGGAGGAGATAAATATAATTAGTGTTTATGAGCCACATGTAGGACTAGAGGATAGAATTACGAGATAATTTTGGGAGGACATGGATGAACCACTCTAAGAAATACCAAATAGAGAGATAACCTTTTTTTGGAGGGGACTTAAATAGTCATGTAGGAAAAGATAATAAAGGGTACGTGGGATATGATTTTGGGAAAAGAAATGGGATCGCGAGGCTATCCTGGATTTTGCTATGACCTACAACCTAGCAAACAACTAGTTTAATAACTTATAAAAGTGAATCATATAGAACCCAGATAGAACTTTTTCTATTCAAGAAAGTAGATCGACCATCATGTAAAAAATGTAAGGTTATTTTAGGAGAGAGTGTAACCATGCAACATAGGCTCATAGTTATGGATGTTTTACCTAAAGAAATGAAAGATGAAATCAAGAGTTTAAAAATCACCGATCTAGATTCAAATAACTCAATCTAGATCGAAAATCATTGATTAACATATCGAGATGAAACGACCGTGTAGTGAATCGGTATCGGTTCCAATCAACGATTGAAAAGTCGTCGAGTCAAACTGGAGTCTCTCGGTTCGACACGGGTTTTGAACACCCCGTATCAGTTCACGTAAAAGACGCAGAAGCGCCCGTATTTAAAAAGAGTCGTCGAGTTTTAAGCGAAAATACGCAGAAGCACCCGTGTCTAGAGAGAGTCGCCAAGTTCTAATAGAAAACACACCCGTACTACAGTAAGGGTGGTTTCAACAGGTTCACTAGCAATTTCAATCGGTTCTCGCAAGCAATTTCAATCGGTTCTCGCACGTCACACGTCATCACTTCCCACCCTCATCGTTCATACTTCCCAACTTAGCACGTCACACATCATCACTTCCCAACTTCCCATCCTCATCATTAAACTTCCCATCCTCACCATTAAAAACGTAACGTACCCATGTTGGAGCCACGTCATCACTTCACATAGATTCTCTACCGCATTGAATTTTCGTACCTTTGAAATGCATTCTCTACCTTTTATAGGTAGATTTACTTCCCAATGAGAATGATGTGGGACTAATTTCAGTTTCCCCTTGTGAATGCTTATTGACATAAAAATTGTAGTGTATATCTTATACTTTGCAAAATACTAGGATATATGATATGTAGTTATTTTTTTCTTTTTAGTTTTTTTCTAAATTTTGACATTGTTAGTTTGTATTCTTAGGTGAAAATCTTTTCTTGAATAATTTTACAATGCCATAATATTCACATTTATAAGGAAATTTATTTTAATTTTTATCGTACGATATGGAAGTGTTTTTTAATATTTTTTGAATCATAGTTGTTATAATATTATAAATAATAATCATACATTGATAATCAAATCTTGTATTTTATTTATTAAATTTTTTGTGTTATAAAGTATATAATGTATTATTTTTGTTATAACAGTAAAATAATTTGTTTATATTATTAATTTATTGTAGTCCATGTATGATTATATATTTCATCCATGATAATTTAATGTTTCTTCTTTTGTGTGATATAAATTTAAGGGTTAACAATAATTCATACAGGAAAATAATATCTCAATATTTACATATTGATGCAAAAAAATAAAAATTTTTAATGGAGTACCTCCATTTTTTATTGGATTCTTAAAAAAAACATTTATAATAAATTTTAATAATTTTTTTGAATTTTTTTTAAGGCTATATCTGAACGATTCGGCTCATTACCGATTAGAATCGCCGATTCACCGATCCGAATGAGTTTTTGAGATGCCCAATCGAAATCACCGATCCGCTTTTTAAACCACTGGTTCCAATGAATCGCCTAATTCTTCGAAAAAAAATCGGTCGCCAAGAAGCCCTGAATAAATTTTAGTAGTCTTATTAAATAGCTTTCTAATAGGTGAGACCTACGTAACAAATAGCCTGCACCGACATATCTTCTCAAACGGTATCCTCACGTTTAATATATTTTATTTTTCACCCATTATTTGGGCTCCACCATGACATGTGACATGTGGAAAGGGCGGCCATTTTAAAGGAGCTTGGCCCCACATGTACGACGTGGGCCTAAACAATTGCACCGAAACCACTTGTATTTTGAAAAACCGCATGTTGTATTGCATAGTTTGGAACTCAATTTGATCTCTCTCTTTATAGCTAAGCCGTAGGAAAAGAGCCCGGGCTTATTTGCTCCCTATCACTAGCTAAAACTCACATTTGTTTCCACACCTCTTTAAATTACGAGATAATGACTCTCTCTAATTATCAAGTATAGTACATTTGGTTACCCTTACATGGGTCATACGTGTTGTAATTTTTCAGGGGAAAAAATGGAAAGTACGATTAAAGGGGTTCAATTATTTTAACAAACCGATACTGGCTTTTTAGAATTTATTGTAAAAAAAACTAAAGGATTTTTTAGAATTTGTTTTTTAAGTTTTATTCTATAAAGATGCTTTCTAAAAAATTGTTAAAAACTACTAAATTATCTCATAGTTGGGAATCTGTAATAATTTAGGAATACTTAATTGTATCTAGCCAAATTATAAAAATAATATTAGTTGTAAAAGTATTATACCAAAATTAGTATAAAAAAATGGGTGCAGTTTGCATACGGATGCATCCGTAGGTGTAGAGGTAAGGTACACCTTC